AAAAATAAAAAAAAATCATAAAAAATAAAATATTCATCAAAATATAGTGCCACTTATTGCATTAATTCAAAAAAATCGAATATTAATTTTAGAGTGCAAAATATAAATAAAAATGTAAAATTTTGACCCATCCCGGCCCCTGGGCGCCCTACTACGCGGGCTAGGGGCTTTTTGACAGCGTTTTTCTTTTTTTTGTCATTTTTTTTCAGCTACACCCGAAAAAATGTATTGATCGTGTCTGTAAAATTTCATAGCTTTTTGACGTCGTTTTTATTTTATTTTATTTTTCAGACACAAAAAATAAAGAAAATCATAAAAATAGAATATTCATCAAAAAATAGTACCACTTGTTGCATTAATTCGTAAAAATTGTATATTAATTTTAGAATGCAAAACATAAATAAAAATATAAATTTTTGACCCATCTCGGCCCCTGGGGGCCCCACTACGCGGGCCTGGAGCTTTTTGACAGCGTTTAACTTCTTTTTGTGATTTTTTGTTGCCTTTTTTTGCAAGCATGCATAGAAAAATGTATGGAACGTGTCTACAAAATTCCATAATTTTGTGACTTCGTTTTTATTTTATTTTATTTTTCAGACACAAAAAATAAAGAAAATCATAAAAAATAGAATATTCATCAAAAAATAGTGCCGCTTGTTGCATTCATTCCTAAAAATCGTGCATTAATTTTAGAATGCAAAACATGAATAAAATATTTAATTTTTTACCCATCTCGGACCCTGGGTACCCCACTACGCGGGCCGGGGACTTTTTGACTGCGTTTTATATTTTTTGTCATTTTTTGAGGCCATTTTTTACAGGCATGCCCAGAAAAATGGAAGGATAATGTATGTGACATTTCATATTTTTTGACGCCGTTTGTATTTTCTTTTATTTTTAAAAGATGAAAAATAAATAACATCATAAAAAATAGAATATTCATCAAAAAATGGTGCCGCTTATTGGATTAATTCTTAAAAATCGTATATTAATTTTAGAATGCAAAACATAAATAAAAATATAAATTGTTTACCCATCTCGGCCCTTGGGCGCCCCACTACGCGGGCCGGGGGCTTTTTGACAGCGTTTAACTTTTTTTTGTCATTCTTAGGCCATTTTTGCAGGCACGACCAGAAAAATGTAAGGATGGGTTCTGCAAAATTTCATAATTTTATCATAAAAAATGGAATATGCATCAAATAATAGTGCCGCCTATTGTACTAATTCCTAAAAATTATAAATTAATTTTAGAATGTAAAACATGAATAAAATATTTAATTTCTGACCCATCGCGGCCCCTGGGAGCCCCACTATGCGGGCTGGGGGCTTTTTGACAGCGTTTTACTTTTTTGACATTTTTTGAGGCCATTTTATGTAAGTGTGACCAGAAAAATGGGAAGGTGTCTGTAAAATTTTGTAATTTTTTGACGTCGTTCTTATTTTATTTTATTTTCAAAAAGGAAAAATAAAGAAAATCATAAAAAATGTAATATTCATAAAAAGTAGTGCCACTTGTTGCATTAATTCCTAAAAATCGTATATTAATTTTAGAATGCAAAACAATAATAAAAATGTAAAATATTGACGCGTCCTGGCCCCTGGGCACCCCTCTATGCGGCCGGGAGCTTTTTGACAGCGTTTAACTTTTTTTGTCATTTTTAGGCCCTTTTTTGCAGGCACGACCAGAAAAATGTAAGAATGGGTTCTCCGAAATTTCATAATTTTTTGACGTCATTTTTATTTTTTTTATTTTTCAAAACTGAAAAATAAAGAACATCATAAAAAATGGAATACTCATCAACAAATAGTGCCGCCTATTGTATTAATTCCTAAAAATCGCAAGTTAATTTTAGAATGCAAAACAAGAATAAAATATTTAATTTTTGACCCATCGCAGCCCTTGGGAGACAGGCTACGCGGGCCGGGGGCTTTTTGACAGCGTTCTACTTTTTTGACATTTTTTAAGCCCATTTTTTGCAAGTATGCCCAAAAAAATGGAAAGATGGTGTCTGTAAAATTCTATAATTTTTTGACGTCGTTTTTTTTTTTTATATTTTCTAAAAGGAAAAATAAAGAAAATCATAAAAAATAGAATATTCATCAAAAAATATTGTCGCTTGTTGCATTAATTCCTAAAAATCGTATATTACTTTTAGAATGCAAAACAATAATAAAAATGTAAAATATTAATGTATCCCGGCCCCCCTCTACGCGGCCGGAGACTTTTTGACAGCGTTTAACTTTTTTGTGTCATTTTTTGTGGAAATGTTTTGCAAGCATGCCTAGAGAAATATAAGGACTGTGTCTCCAAAATTTCATAATTTTGTGACGTCATTTTTTTTCATTTTATTTTTCAAAGATGAAAAATAAAAAAAATCATAAAAAAATAGAATATTCATCAAAAAACGGTGCTGCTTGTTGCACTAATTCCTAAAAATCATATATTAATTTAAGAATACAAAACATAAATAAAAAAGTAAAATTTTTACCCATCCCGGCCCCTGGGCGCCCCACTACCCAGGCTGGGGGCTTTTTGACAACGTTTTACTTTTTTTGTCATTTTTCGCAGGCACAACCAGAAAAATGTAAGGATCGTGTCTGTAAAATTTCATAATTTTTTGATGTTGTTTTTATTTTATTTTATTTTTCAGAGACGAAAATATAAAGAAAATCATAAAAAAAAGCATATTCATCAAAAAATGGTGCCGCTAGTTATATTAATTGCTAAAAATTGTATATTCATTGTAGAATGCAAAACATGAATAAAAAATTTAATTTTTGACCTATCCTGGCCCCTGGACGTCCCACTATGCGGGTCGGGGGCGTTTTGATACTGTTTTACTTTTTTTGTCATTTTTTACAGGCATGCCCTGAAAAATGTATGGATGGTGTCTGCAAAATTTCATAATTTTTGGCGTCATTTTATTTTATTTTATTTTTCAGAGACCAAAAATAAAGAAAATCATAAAAAATAGAATATTCATCAAAAAAATATGCCGCTTATTGCATTAATTCCTACAAAACTGTATATTAATTTTACAACGCAAAACATAAATAAAAATGTAAATTTTTTACCCATCCCGGCCCGTAGGCGCATCACTACGCGGGCCGGGGGCTTTTTGACAGTGTTTAACTTTCTTTTGTCATTTTTTGAGGCCATTTTTTGCAGCCATGACCAGAAAAATGTAAGGATGGGGTCTGCGGAGTTTCATGATTTTTTGACGTCGTTTTTATTTTATTTTATTTTTTAAAGATGAAAAATAAAGAAAATAATAAAAAATAGAATATCCATAAAAAAAAATAGTGCCGCTTATTGCAGTAATTCCTAAAAGTTGTATATTAATTTTAGAATGCAAAATAATAATAAAAATGTAAAATACTGACGGATCCCGGCCCTTGGGCGCCCCTCTATGTGGCCGGGGGCTTTTTTACAGCATTTAACTTTTTTTGTCATTTTTTTAAGGCCGTTTTTTGTAAGCACACCCCAAAAAATGTAAGGATGGGGTCTGCGAAATTTCACAATTTTTTGACGTCGTTTTTATTTTATTTTATTTTTCAAAGTTGAAAAATAAAAATAAAATCATAAAAAGTAGAATACTCATAAAAAATAGTGCCACTTGTTGTATTAATTTCTAAAAATCATAAATTAATTTTAGAATGCAACACTTGAATAAAATATTTAATTTTTGACCCATCCCGGCCCCTAAGAGCCCCACTATGCGGTTTAGGTCCACACCTTGTACCTTTCTGGGTTATAGCATCAAGCATAAGGGATATAAATGTCTTGATCCATCTGAAAGAATCTATGTCTCTCGGGATATTATCTTTGATGAACTTTCATTCCCATTTGCCAAAACTACTCAAGTCATACCATCCACCTGTGTTGAGCTGAATAATCTTCTCTCATCCACTCCACTTAGTGTTCTTTCCTCTTCTTTCCATCGTCTCAGTTTCCTCTTATAACACCTTCATCATCCTCTTCAACTGAATTTTCTCCTTCACCCTCCATACTATCACACAATCAAACTTCTCCTCTTGCACCAAAAAATACATCCACTGTGCCAGAACATATGTCTACTGTTTCAGCCTCAAATCAGGACTCATGTGTACCAGGTCAGGGGAGTTTAGAACCCTCAAAATAGTCCAAGCTATTACCTTCACACTCCATGGTCACACGCTCCAAGAAAGGCATTTTTAAACATAAAGTATACACGGCAACAAAAGAGCCTGGCACTGTTGAAGAGGCTCTTGCTGCTGTACACTGGAAACAGGCTAGGACTGATGAGTTCCTTGCTCTTTAGAGGAACCATACGTGGAGCCTTGTTCCTTTACCTTCTGGGAGAAAAGCAATTGGTTGCAAGTGGGTTTTTCGAGTAAAGGAAAATCCTGATGGCAGCATAAACAAATACAAAGCACGACTTGTTGCTAAAAGTTTTCATCAAGTGGCAAGTTTTGATTTCACAGAAACTTTCAGCCCAGTACTTAAACCTACTACTGTTCGTGTAATACTCACTCTAGCATTAAGTAGGCAGTGGTGTGTGAGGCAACTTGATGTGAACAATGCCTTCTTAAATGGGGATTTATAGGAGGAAGTGTACATGGATCAATCTGCTGGTTTTGTCGATCAACATCATCCAAGTCTGGTGTGTAGGCTACACAAGTCTCTTTATGGTTTGAAGCAACCTCCAAGGGCATGGTTTGACAAACTTCACCAGGCATTACTAAAACTTGGCTTTCGGTCAGCAAGGTCAGATCAGTCACTTTTCATTCAAATTACATCACAATGGATTCTTTAGATTCTAGTCTATGTGGATGACATTTGAATCACCGGGAGTGATGAATCAACTATCCAAGGGTTAACCAACAAGCTTAATGCTGAGTTTGCACTCAAAGATCTTGGAGAGATTGACTATTATCTTAGAATACAAGTAACAAGAACCTCTGGAGGACTTCATCTATCTCAGAAAAAATACATCACAGATTTGTTGTGTAGAACCAAGATGCAATATGCCAAGAGTGCTTCACTTCCCATGACCACAGGCAAGAAACTGTCTTCTTTTGGAAGTGATCATGTGAGTAATGTTCAGCTATATAGAAGTGTAGGAGCTTTACAATATGTGACAATCATAAGGCCTGAAATCTCCTACAGTGTGAGTAAGGTTTGCCAATTTATGCAAACGCCATTAGAGGCTCATTGGAAAACAGTGAAGAGAATTCTGCGGTATCTAGCTTGCACAGTTGACTATGGTCTTCACTTGAGACAGTGCTCTACGGATAACCTAGATCTAGTTGCATTTTGTGATGTAGATTGGGCTTCAGATGCTGATGACAGAAGGTCCACCTCAGGGTTTTGTGTATTTCTTGGTTCTAACTTAGCTTCTTGGCAGTCAAAGAAGCAACACACAGTGTCTAGATCATCTATAGAGGCTGAATACCGGAGTTTAGCTAGTGTGGTGGCAGAGATATCTTGGCTGCAATCCCTTCTAAGTGAACTAAATTTTCAGCCACATAAAACACCAATAATCTAGTGTGACAATCTGAGCACAGTTCATCTAGCAGCTAACCCGGTTCTACATGCTAGAACAAAGCATATACAGCTGGATCTATAATTTGTTTGAGAGAAGTTCATGAGGAAGCAAATAGAAGTTAGACATGTACCAGCCATTGATCAACTAGTTGATGTCTTCACTAAAGCCATTTCAAGCTCAGTGTTTGGTCTTATACGAAGCAAACTTAAAGTAAAAGATCTAACTACTTTAAGTTTGAGGGGGGCTGTTAAGAAACCTTAGCTATGTTACCTTAGATTACTGAGCAAGCTTTACAAAGCTTCTAGTATAAGCTTCTGTAGTTAAAACGTATTCTACAAGTTTCAGTCTGTAGTTAAAATGTATTCTACAAGTTTCAGTAGCTTTATGTAACTTATGTATAAATAGGTAGTTACTGTAGCTTATTATTTAATATTCAGATAATTCATTCAATACAATATTCTTTCCGAATCTATTTCGGATAGTTTTCTTTATACGGCTAAATCGAGCGCGGTGACGGCGTGGCCGGCGGATTTTAGCAGCGGCACGAGCTTGTACCAGGACCAACCGCCATGGCACGATCCGTGAACAAGCACAAAATGCTTGGCGATTTTCGCAGGATCCGATTTTGCGGAGAAGAAAACAATGAGCAGAAACGAGACTGAGAGTAAATGCTTTCTTTTATTCATTTTCCTGTTTTTTCCTTGGTTGAGAAATATGTCCTTCGATTTCAAATTTTATTATGAAAGTAAAGAAGAGGCTAACTTTGTTAGGGCCTGTATGGTATACGTGTTTGGACCATGATTCTCATTCTGCTACCATGTTTCTCTCATAAATAATTTGAATAAAAAAATTACTGATTCTCTCACAAAAAAATTAAATAGAAATTAGAATTAGAATCATTTACTTGAACAAAACGGACCCTTTATATTTTATTTATTTAATTAATATATTTTTTTAGTAAGTTCTAAAAAAAAAAAAAAAAAAAAAACTTTCAATGTTGGTCTCATACTATAGGAGATTTAAAGTATCTATTTTAAAAGGCATGAAACTCTATACTCTGTAATAGCTTAGTTTCATGTCTGTAGCTAGCTCTTGGAAAATCTCTTCCACATTACTATAAGCAAATTGTCTCCATCATCCAACATTTTGAAAATTACATTTTTTGGCCTTGTATATTTTGTCAGCAATGACGTTATTAGTTTGTTTTTAGTTAGCATGTACTGATAAATTAATGCTATGATCAATTGCTCTTATTATTAAATTTGAATTTAGCTGAGTCATGAAAGAAATATTTTGAATCTCTCTAAAAGAAAATAAGAAATGATTCGGACGTAGATATCAAGTAGCTGCAGAGAGTTAAATTTGTTATAAGACAAATCTGCCATTTCCCATTATTATATTTATCTTGCCATTTCCCATTATTATATATATATATATATATAGAAATCTCATTTACATGACTAATTTTGCTTGGAGCAGACGATTATTCTGTATTCATGACAGTCAACAGACTCAACACTGAATTTAGATCTAGACAACAGCATGTTTCCGAAGTCTGCTACTCATAATAACAACATGGTATTTACAGGTACTGACATATATAGATAAGATGAGCATTGGTTGATAGTAAGCAGAAAGACCGATTTTTTCAGCTTATTCAGACACCCGGAAATGATGAATTTGGATATTTTCAACGTTGAGTTTCCTGAAATTACTGCCCTTTCGGGTGGTGAAGAATTTGCCCCAGTTGTATGCTCTATATTTTGCAGGATTCTGCTCATCTGTCAGCTCCTCTAAGGGCTTGACCATTGTGTAGTGTGCTGGGTTGAGGAAGAAAGGAATGGAAAACCTTTCCCTTTCTGAGTTGACCATAACTCTGTGCTCCACGCTCTCATATCTTTCATTACTCCAAACCTGACCATAAGTTTCGTTTATTAAGCTAAATGACAAACAATTTACATTTCATTTATTAAGCTAAACGACCAACAATTTACAACCCCAATGAAATAAAGCAGACATGTTGAGATTTTAACAGGGTGACCAATATGAACTGAACTTCAAACAAAAACATTACCAGATCAGTGTATCACGAAGAAAATTGGAGTTGTAATATAGTACCTGAATTATGTCACCAACATTAATGATAAATGCATTTGGTGTAGGTTTGACCCTAATCCACTCTCCATCAGTTTTGCGCTTCACTTCAAGGCCTCCAACATCATCTTGAGCAAGGACGGTCAAGGCACCGGCATCTTTATGCCGGCCAACGCCAAGAGCTAGGTGAGGGATGGGGCATGGTGGGTAGTGATTAAGTCTGACAAAGCTGGTTTGGTCTATGAAGAACCCATTAAACCTATTTGCTGGTAATCCTAAGCTCAGGGCAATAAGTCCCATCAACTTTTCACACAGTTTTTGCACCTCTTTCACATATTCTTCGCATGCCTCCCTGACCAAGATAATCCCAAATAAGATATGTTTAGAAGTGAGTTCTGAAAAACAAGTGACGAAGGTCCTGATCCTGGATACAAACTTAAACATAAATATAGAATTTTCCGTTATTTCATTTCGTCTTTATCTTCACTATATTTTGTTTAAGAATTATAGTTTACTTCATTATTTTGCTATGTTTTTTCGCATTATTAAAGTTCTATTCAACTATAAATAGACCTTGTGATTCTTTTCTTTACTTCGGATCTTAATAACTAATATCATATCTTCACTTTCTTTTCCTATTTTTTCCTTCTCTCTCAAAATTCTTAATTCTTCATCGTCTTTCTACAATTCTTCTTCTACTTCTTTTTGTTTCTCCCTTTCCTCTTAATCCTACATCATTGCACACTTTTTCATTGCATCATTTTGTTTTGTAAACAACGATTGATAAATACAGGAATCAGAATAATTATCGGAGACTCCCAGCTCTATCCACTCGGCACTCACTAAAGGCTCAACAAAATGATCCTGTAAAAAATTTCTTCATCTCTATAATCATGTAAAATATCTTATAGCTAGGAGAAGCGAAAACCACTTGTATGAAATGGAGCTTGATTCCTTCAAGCATTAGTACCCTTTGAGATTTCTGTTTTAATATTCACACACACACATATATATATATATGCATATTTTGACATCTTTACCAATATTATAAGAGTATTCCAATGTAGTGTCAAATTAGTGTATCCATATCGACATTCGAGCAGGAAAATCACTATTCAATACAATGCGTTAAATTCATGATTGTATCAAATTATAATAGAATTCAGCTTATGATCGTCATCATCACCAGAATTGAATAACAACACATTACCTCAAGTCAGCAGGTTTATCAGGCCATTGATTAAACCACTTTTGGACTCCGTCACCATCATTCCGGGGGACAAGAACGGGATCCTCCACGCTAAAATCAAAGACCTCCTTCCAGTCCCTCACGTTCTTGGTGTGCTCAGTGTCATAGTATCCCAACACCCTCACCTCGTTTCTCCTCACCTTCTTCTTCTCCTCCGACAACAGCGCGAAGAACTCCCTCGCAGCCGCCTCGATTCTTCTCCGCTTCTCCGCAGGCACGCCGTGGTTGACAACCTGGAAGAACCCCCATTGCTTGCACGCCTTGCCTATCTCTGTCACTAGCTCATCGTCAGTTAGGCCTCCGGAGAGGTCAATCAATGGTATGCCTTCAGCTTCGGTTATGGTAAGCTTTGGCCTGTGCTCAGGGGCTTGTACAAAGGCCTCATCAATCACCTCTAGTCCCATGGAGCCTCTTTTTTTTTTTTTTTTGGTTGTTGTTGTTGTGATGGTTTTGGTATTTTACCGCTAGCTTACCTAACGGAGGCTGTTTATAGACGCATGTGAAAGATAATATAGTGGTAGGAGCCACCAGTTTTGGATACATCGAATCTGGACGTTTTTTATACGTCGTTTACTGTGTCTCATTCACAGCCCAATCAACGATTAACAAAGTATATAGTTGGGATCTTTATGTGACAGTCGGCTCGGCTAATTCATTTCTTTGCCGTTACATGTTAAACAAGATTCGGAGTTTGCCATGTTGTTTTTAGTGTGGATCGTTTTATGACAGAGACTAGCCGAAGTTCAATTTTTTTATTCCTCCTGAATTTGAAAGTGGAGGGATGAGGACACTATGGGCTTGTTTGGTTTAACAACTCAAACCGTGAAGATTTGAATATTTATTTTATTAGAATTTTGGAATTTAAATTATGATAATTCAAACTGTGATATGAACTGTTGTTTAGATATACAAATAAATTATAATTTGAATTGAGAATAAAGTATTAAAAACTGTCATTAGAGTTTAGTAACAAATCTTATAAAACTTCATTATAAATAACATTAGAAAATATGTAATATGAGTGGAGATTTATTCCTCTCTTTATTATGAATGCATTTGTTGGAAAAAAATGGATTGTTAAGCCATTTTAAAGGCCCATTTTGAGGCCCATATTCGGATGGGGCCCAATAGGTTTTTGGGACGAGTCTCGATGGATTTGCGTTCTCCGTTGCGAGGAGATCGAAATCAAGTATTCAAACACTCAAAATGGTTTTTTAGTGAATGAGAAATTGATGGTCTAAGTGTGGTACTTGGAATGGTAAATGTAGAAGAAAAATTGCAAAAATCCCACATTGGCTAGGAGTGAAGCCAATGTGGTGTTTATAAGTGATTGCACTTTGAAGCCTTGAAAAGTATGTATACCAAAGAGTTTTCTCGCACGCATGGGGGGTGCGAATCACGATCCCGGTGGTTGCCAATGTGTGCGCCCGCGACCTGCGGACACAAATGTTGGATCGGAAAACTTGCTCCGTGCGAGCTTACTTTTGTAATTTTTATTTTTTACTCGGCCAATACTTTCCAGATTCAGGCAAAACCATTTGGAGCTTAATGGTTGGGGGCCAATGTGTGCGCCCGCGACCTGCGGACACAAATGTTGGATCGGAAAACCCGCTCCGTGCGAGGTTACTTTTGTAATTTTTATTTTTTACTCGGCCAAGACTTTCCAGATTCAGGCAAAACCATTTGGAGCTTAATGGAGATTAAACAAGGCTTAATGGGATGCTTAATGCCGAGTTTACTTGTGTTGTTAATGGCTGGTTATTGAACCAGTTTTTCCATGAACCTAGATGTGAATTGTGGCCTGGTTCAGGAAACGTTTTTGCACAATTAAATTGGTGATTAAGACCTTTGATTTCCTGGTCTCATAACCTATTTTCCAGAGCCTATAAAAGGTGCCTTCCACATGAAGAAGGAGCACACCACAGACACGCAATTAGCTCTTCTTCCTCGAGTTCTTCCTTCTTTTTCCAGTTTCTTTTGTGTTCCTCGTAGTTCGATTTGATGATAAAGGAAAGGTCCGAGTTCTAGTTCGCCGGACGGTTCTGATAGTGCATCGTGTTACCGTCGTTGTCGTTGTATCTTGGGAGACGGACGTCCAATGTTGCCTCAAGCACTCACCGGAGGGGACGAATCTGTTTTAAGGAAAACATGGTTCACGTGCCTCGACATTCATACAATTCCAAGTTTGGTAGAAAGGTTGAATTTGCATTGTACAATTTCAGTTTTTCATTTCCCTATAGTTTTCATCTTCTTTGTATTATCCTATTTCGGCTAACAGTATTAAAAAAAAAGATCATCTCAATTGGAATTAAAAAGAAGAAATTATGACATTTTTAAGATTGAAATTTAAGAGAGAAAAAGTAAAATCTAAAACTATTAGATTGTTGACAATAATTCAGATTATTAGAATTTAAGGGGGAGGTGAATTCTAAAATTAACAATTTGAGTTGTCCTTGAACCATTGTTAATAGTTTGAATTACTTTTGAATTTTTATCTCCTAAACATCAGTTTAAATTCCGAACTCAGGTTTAAATCTTAAACAACAATTTGAGTTATTGAAATAGGTGTTGTTGTGCGGGAAAATATGTTTTGACATGTCAGACAACAACATCGCTCCATGTGGCCCTGCAATAACCACATCGGCCAAACCGTCAACTCGTCATACCGCCAACCTAATAAGACCTCGGCGTTTACCCAACTCACCCACATCAGGGGTCTCGTTAAGGTCGACCGTGTAAAAGGCGGCACCTAGCCCGGTTCTCATCTGGGCTCATGGTGCCGATCGTATATACAGAAGGCCAGCTGGAAGCCAACCGTATAAACGTGGGACCCCGAGGAAAAGTGTGTGCTTGGAAGAAGTCTGTAATGCAGGCCTTAATTACAAGTACTTAAATCATCCACAACTAGACGGTGGAGGGATACAGGGAGTGCAGAGCCGTAATGGAGGACTAATTAGATGAATGAACAGTCCAAAAGGCGATTAGCTGGCTATGGGTCTAGGCCCATAGGATGGCAAGCACTCGAGTGGAGGTCTACAGAGAGGTCTACAGAGGAAAACCGCCCATAAAGTAAACTTGGGCTATAAAAGAGGGGCAAAGCCCCAAGCTCGAGAGGTTCTTCTTTTATTTTACACATGTAATTGGAGAATAGAAAATACATACAACAAAACAGTGGATGTAGCTCTTGATTAACAGAGTGAACCACTATAAACCATGTGTGTCTTCACATTTGAGTATCGCTTTTCGTGTTATTCTCCACCGCAAAAGTACAACACACACTTCACAGTATCAATTACACTTCCACAATCAAATTTTGGCCGGTAACCTCACGAGATACCAGGAGGTAACCCGGCGTATCCCAGTTGACAAAATTTGACCGTCAATAATTGGCGACTCCGCTGGGGACGAACCCAGAATCTCTAGTTCATACGTTTGATCCCCGACAATGAAGAAATAGTCAGCGACCACGCCTCCGAGGAGAAGAGATCTCAACCACGGCAACCAGGCGGAGAACAACACGGCACCTCCGGTGAATGATGGGATTGAAGAAAACCAACCTCCAGTTAGGAATGAAGTTCCACCCCTAGAAGTGCTATGACCTAACCCCTTGCAGATGCAGGCCCAACTCGCTAATCTGACCGACCTGGTGCGGGGGCTCGTGACTGTCGTCGAGCGGTTGGATGGAAGAAACTCAATGCCGCCTCTAGAAGACGCCCCGAGACCACTGGGAGCTACTGTGGCTGGAAACCATAATCCTGGTGACCGCCAAGATGCCCTGGAAGGAATCAGTGATAGCAAAAATCTCAAAGGTGATCCGAGGCCTCGACCTTCACAATCCACCGGCAGTCGCCAAAGAGCCGCCAGATGCCGGGCCCATGAAAACCAAGTAGCCAGAGGCCTGGAGAACCCCGAAGTGCCACCTCAAAACCCGGATGGAAACCTTCCTAGAGATTTGGGGTCAATACAAGCAGGCAGAGGGGTGAGGGGCAGGCCAAATGCACAAAGGGCAGAAGCTTCGAGACGAGCCGGCTCTGCAATCACGACGGAAGAAGCAAGAGCCATCATGGAGCGCATGACTAGCTTGGAGCAAAAGCTCACAGGCGATGTCGCTAGCCTAAAGAGGAATATAGGGCAAGTGGCGGAGGTAGTAAATGTTGATATTACACCCTATCGAACACATGACCACCCATTCACCCCGGAAATCATGGCGCCACCTGTTCCCGATAAGTACAGGTCATCGTCGATCCCACCATACGATGGCAGAGGGGATCCTGATGACCACTTGGAGATGTACACGAGGCACATGCTCTTACACGGGTACACCGAGAAAATCATGTGTGGAGCCTTCTGAAACCATCTGACGGACTCCACTTAAAGATGGTTCAGAACACTCAAACCGAACTCCATCTCGAGTTGGGATGAATTGAAGGAGGCTTTCTCCCTCCAGTTCATTGGAGTAAAAAAGTATGTCCCCCCGAAGCAAAACTTGATGACGATATATCAAAAGCCAAACGAGTCATTAAAAGAATGGCTCGCGAGGGACGGAAAAGTCATCGCCGCCACAATGGACATGACTGACAGGGAGGCTCTAATGGGGGCTTTGTCTAGCATAAAGAAAATTACCCCCTTTAAAAGGGACCTGAACCGGAAGCCCCCATCGACCTACAAAGAATTCCTAGCGCAAGCGCAAGGATACATTAATGCCAAAGAGGCCGACGCCAACAACCCTGAACACCGATCCAATAAGAATAAAAACTCAGAGCAAGGGTCGACGCTAGGAAAACCGGATGGAAAGAAATGCCGAGGGGGGGAGGGGAATGGAGACAAACAGCCTGCCTCGACGCCAAACCCGCCAGAAGCCAGAAAGCTGAGGCAAGAAGAGAATCGGAAGCCTCGACCATTCCAAAGGTACCACTCATACCATGAACTAACGATGGGAGTCAAGGAAGTTTTTAACCAGGTCGGTCATGGGAACTTGCTGCGCCGACCAGAACCGATGAGGTCGGACCCTAGCCGAAGGAACCAAAACAAATTCTGCAAGTTCCACAGCGACGTCGGACACCGCACCAATGATTGCGCCGATCTTAAAGATGAGATTCAAGGGTAATCCATGAGGGAAGACTGCAGGAGTTTAAGCCTGAACGGAGACCAAGAAACGATGGCCACGGCGGCCAAAATGACGGTCGACGCCGAGAGGAGCCCCGACATCCTGAGGAGTGAGAACCCGTCAGCGTCATACGAACTGTCCTCAGCGGTCTGTATATTAAACCATTTCGAGAAATATGAACAAATTCATTATCAAAATAAACTTTAAATAATTGCTCGAATAACATAGCCACAGAAATTAAATTTCTACGAATGTCTGGAATAAAATAAACATTGTTCAAAACTAAAAATTTATTTTCCCTAAAACGAAGTCTAACTTCTCCCACTACTTTTGCCGAAACTCTTGCGCCAT